TCTGCAAATTATGACATGGTGTAGGCATCTAGCTATACGTTTGGATGTGATCCCTGTTCCGGGTAACTACTAAGGTAGGGGAGATTCTAGGACCTACAAATCCAATTCCCCAACATTTGGAAGGAATCAGGCTGGTTCAAACATTTGGGAAGACAGAAATCTCTAGGCCGGGCTACTTATTACACTCCCCACCAAAGCTATGATGGTGGTGTAGGCATCTAGCTATACGTTAGGTCTGATCTCTGTCCCTGCTAATGTGACTAGGTCAGGAGGCATTGTGGGATCTACAAAGCAACTTTTTCAATATTTGGAGTCAGGATAGTTTTAGGTGTTTGGGAAGTCAGAAATCTCTAGTCCAAGCTACTTATTACACTCCCCGCCAGAGCTATGACATGGTGTAGGCAGCTAGAGATACATTGGACATGGTCCCTGTTCCGGGTAACTACTAAAGTAGGGGAGATTCTAGGACCTACACATCCAGTTCCCCAACATTTGGAAGGAATCAGGCTGGTTCAAACATTTGGGAAGACAGAAATCTCTAGGCCGGGCTACTTATTACACTCCCCACCAAAGCTATGATGGTGGTGTAGGCATCTAGCTATACGTTAGGTCTGATCTCTGTCCCTGCTAATGTGACTAGGTCAGGAGGCATTGTGGGATCTACAAAGCAACTTTTTCAATATTTGGAGTCAGGATAGTTTTAGGTGTTTGGGAAGTCAGAAATCTCTAGTCCAAGCTACTTATTACACTCCCCGCCAAGGATTCTTCCTTTCCCTGTCATGGGACCCTAGGACTCTGCAACTGTCATAAATCTGAGTCCATTGCAAAGTGTCTGGATTTTGATCATGTGACTATGGGGATGCTGCAACCGTCATAAGTGTGAAAATTGTTGTTTTTCAGTGTCGTTGTAATATTAAACCATCACTAAACGGTTGTTAAGTCAAGGAGTAGCTATAGTAGTGGCTGAGGTGGGTTGGAGGAGAAGAACCTGGCCTGTTTTAGGAGCTTCCAGTTCTGACCGAGGCTTCCCGAGAGTCTGAAGCAAACTCCTTGTCCCAAAAAAAACCACCTTTTATTAATTTGCTGTGAATTCCGCTCACTCACATCCAGCAAAGTCTTTCAAGGGAGGATTTACGGTCACAGACCTTATCTGGCTTGGAGAGCTGACAGGCCGAACTTGGCCAGGAGTCTCGGAGAGTCACAAACCAATGAAGCGAACTGATTGTCTCCTGCAAACTCCTCTCCCCTTTCGCTCCTCTTTTATTCCCTCTGGGAGGGGCCATTCACCGTCCACCTGTGGCCTCACTCCCTAGTCGGCCCCTGTTCTTTAGCTCTTCCCTTCACCATTCTGCGCATGCACACACTGGGAACAGGCTCCAGCTGTTCTTCTGCCTCACTGATGTCTGACTCCGAAGGCAGCTGATAACTGTCGGACGGCCCTGGGCCCCTCTCTGCCTCCGACACAGAGCCCTCATCAGAGCCTTCCCCAGACTCCAGGACTGGCCCCTCATCCTCCCCAACCCTCCTCACTATCCGAATCTACTGCCTCCTCGGCTGGCCACTGGCAAGCCACAACACTTCCCAAATGCCAGCTGGTTAGGATATCAGATGGCGAAATAAGCAAGCCCAACCCACCAGGCTTCATCCCGAGGTCTTAGAAGAGGTCTTCTCTCCAACCTTGTGCCCTCCAGATGGATCTCCAGGGGATTAACACATTACATGGCAGGCTTCGCGTCACCAAGGACTAATCCTGCCCCAGAATGGCGACGGCACAAGGGATTGAAGGTAGATTGCAACACAATCTTCTTTTGGCCTTCAGACCAACTGTAATGTAGCTGGGTGAGAGCTCAGGTTGCGTGCGAGGGTTCAAGTCCCAACTGTGGGAGGGTTATCGACTCATCAAATCAGCTTCTCCTCGGTAGGTTTCCCTTCAGCTCCCTCACTCCTTGACCATTTTTGAACAGTGTTGCTTTGATTGTCCACTCCTATCCAGTGGTGGAACTCAATCTTTTTTTTAACTACCGGTTCTGTGGGCGTGGCTTGGTGGGCGTGGCAGTGGGAAGGATACTGCAAAATCCCCCATTCCCTCCCCACTCTGGAGCCAACCCAGAGGTGGCATTTGCCGGTTCTCCGAACTACTCAACATTTCCGCTACCGGTTCTCCAGAACTGGTCAGAACCTGCTGGATTTCACCCTTGCTCCTGTCCCATGCAAGGCTGGCCAGTTTTAGATGACTGGGTCTGGATCAGTGGTGGGATTCAACTAATTTAACAACCGGTTCTCTGCCATAATGACCAGCTGGGTAGGCATAGCTCGGTGGTCATGTGACAATGTGGCCGTGGCCAACTCACGTCGATGGGCGCTTTGCCTTAGTTGTTAGTTGAAGAGCCAAGGTGGCGCAATGGTTAAATGCAGCACTGCAGGCTATTGCTAGATCAGCAGGTCAGCGGTTCAAATCTCACCGGCTCAGGGTTGACTCAGCCTTCCATCCTTCCGA